TTAAAAAAAGAACTTAGAATACATAAAGAACCATCTAAAAATCAACAGCATCTACTTCTTGAAGGCACCTTCTGCAAGAGTATCATCACTGATCAAAACTAGTCTAGCTATGTGAACTCATCTCTTTGAAAGAAGAAAAGATTGAAGCACAACAAAGTTGACCTGCAATGGTTTTCTAATGGCTTTTAACTATAAAAACTGGTTATTTCTTGGTATGTGAAAACTGTCCTATTCAGGCATTTATGTATAAGTATTAAATTATATAATGCTGAAGCTGACATGAGAATTAAACTTTCATTTTCTTGACTTCTTTTAAAGGTTTTTAATGAAAACAAAGTAATGACTTTCAAAATAAGATTTTTGTCATGCAGTCTATTGATCCAAAGTTCTGTATCACTGGCTGCATTGCAATATCACAATAAACTAATTTCCTCCACCACAGGTTCATCCAATGCATTAAAGTAAGGACTGCCTGGGAATTTTGACAATTATCATTGAACACATCTGGCAAGTATCAAACTGGGAAAGGTTATAATAAACCATAATTATACTATCCTTCATTTCCTACGTTTCTACCTTTCCTCCACAGACTCAAAGGCCATGAAAGATTCTGAAACTTTTGCTTAAATAAACTTGCATGATCAACAGCTGACAAGTTGCTGTTACCTTTAGCAATGGCTTACTAAAGTAAACTCCAAATCATTTCTTTTAGAGCTTCATAGAGGAATATTCTCTTCTGCCTATTTAATAAGTAGTATATAATAATAGATAGAAAATTGTTTTCAAGGTCTGAGCAGGCATACAAGAAAACAAAACTGATTGGAAGCCTCAAACTGCAATGAACAAGGTCATACATGCAATTTCACAGCTACTAAGATTGTTGGCCATGTAGGTACAAAGATAGGGAAATGATTGAAGCATAAGAAACAGGCCCTTTGTTGGTCAACAGGAGTGCTGTTTTACCACCAGCTCATCAAGTTATGTGCCAAGGATTTGTAAGTACAGGAAACAACAGCACAAGGAAACAACAGCCAATTGCTGGCCATCAACACACTAATCAACCACATAAGGAAAGCAGTGGTGGGATTCAAAACTTTTTACTCCCGGTTCTGTGGGCATGCTTGGTGGCCGTGGCAGGAGAAGGATACTGCAAAATCCCCATTCCCTCCCAACTCCTGGGAGAAGGTTACTGCAAAATCCCCATTCCCTCCCCACCACTGCTTTCCTTCCCATCCCATTACCCTGCTTTCCAGATCCATTCTCCTGTGCAAGGCAACAAAAGAAGACCCAGTCAATCAGCTGGGACTCAGGAGGCAGAGAATAGATGGGAGCGGGGCCAGTCAGAGGTGGTATTTGCCAGTTCTCCGAACTACTTGAAATTTCCACTACCCGTTCTCCAGAACTGGTCAGAACCTGCTGAATACCACCTCTGAAGGAAAGCATCACATAAATAGAAAGCATAGAATAACCCAAAGCACATATTCTGTTAGAGAAGTTCCCTGAGGATGGGCTCCAGCCTGGTGACGGACTCAGATTGGATCTTGCAATCCTGGGATTATTTTGGGATACATGTATTTGCCTTCATTTATGTTCAGTCTTTAAATTGCATCAGGATTTTCACCCACACATTCATGGAAAAAAAGTATATTAATTGGCTTCCCCATCTCTGATAATTGTTGGGGTTTACCCAAACACCCCTCTACACCATGCAATCCTAAAGCATTTTTTGTGGTAGGCTATATGATAGCAGTTTCAACTTTCCCCAACTATCTGATGATGGCAATAATGATGATGACAATGATTTTTTCTTTTCCTTCTATTTCCAGCTGCCTCTTTCCCTCTATTGCCACACTTTTTTTTGTTTTCTTTATAAATTTTTTTTCAAAATTCTCTTACTGAATTTCAAACTGTTCTGTATAAGCTTATTAACTTGGGGAAAAATGGGGAGGCATATTGGTGAAGGCACAAAAAGCTGCATGAATGCTCTCCTTGACTGCCAACAAATAACTCAGTCAGTTAGCTTACTAAATCATGACGCATGATATGGTTTAAACAACATGACATTTGTAAACCTTCCTGAGCCTTTAGAAGTGATTGCATGCATGCATAAAGAAATAGGAAGGGCTGCCAAGCTTTTTTCAATTAGCATGATCAATTCCATTGGCTAGTCCAACCCTTTGCAAACATTCCCTTTAAAAATGTGGATGTGTAATCTTCAGCAGTGCAGGAAATAAAAAAAATTTTCATTAACCAGAACGATACCAATGAACAACATACTCATAAAACTTTTACTTTGCCTTGACCAATGGCATGCATTTTGTTTTCCTTTCTTAACTACTTTGTACCCTTGCAAAGTACAGTATTTTCTTAGGATTGCTTTACATAAGGGGAAAGAAAGAAAAGGGAAGAAGGGGCAGCAAATTTTCCTTTATTAAAAAAAATCACCCAATACTTCTTAATTTTATATTTCCAGCTACTCTTGACCAAAAAGAACTTCTGATTAGCTAGATGTTTAGACTGGATTTGGGATTTTTATATATCTATTGAGTTCTTCCCAAGGACATGGGACAGGCAGATATTGTTCTTGGATGGTGTTAAAATATCGCTACAGCTCTGAATAAAACTTTTGCAATTAATGGGTGAACTTTTCGTCACTAATGATGTTGTTCAAATGGTACTTCAGACATTTTGGGATTTCACCCAAAGCACCTACTACAAGTGATACTACCTTTGCTTTCTTTTAACACAGTTATTCAACTTCTATTTTCAGGTCTTCTTGTTTACTGATTTTCTCCATTTCTTTCTCTTCTCTTCTGCTATCCAAATATTATTTATAGGTAATCTGCAGTTACACAGGTAGTCCTCGATGTATAACCATAATTGAACCATGTTTGGGTTTGTTGTTAAATTAGTTTTGCAAACTTTCTTGCCACAGTTGTTAAAGGAATGTGGCTTCCCCACTGACATTGCTTGTCAGAGGTTTGTAAAAGGTGATCACATGCCCTAGGATGTTGCAATCATTACAAATGTAAGTCAGTTGCCAAACATCTTAATTTTGATCAAATGACCATGGGGATGCTACAGCAGTTGTAAGGGTGAAAAATAGCCATAAGTGACTTTTTTCAGTACGGTTATAACTTCAAATGGTCATTAAATGAATTGTTGTAAGTTGAGGAGTACCCATACTTACAGTTTAAGATTGGTGGAAATTTAATCATTTAATAATTCTTAATCATTAAGTTGTTATTATTATTTCACTTGTATACACTGCTTACCTTTGTTGCCACTTGGTCTGGGATGCAATCTATTCTTTCAGGAAGAGGAATAACTGGACAAGTAGGTGAGAAGGCTAGAAATACATCAATTTATTATATCAGTCAGATAATAATAATAACAATAACAACAATAGAAATAAATAGGCAATACAAATGCAACAATCAAGTGTTTTGTTAGTTAACAAATCTGAGAAATCCTCACTAGATGATATGGCAAAAATAGTGTTTATTTCATTTTAACAAGAATCAGCAACTGTCTAAAACAAATACTACTTTGAATGTAATATTCAGATGCTTACTAGAATTGTGGTTATACATTCAGAGATTGTGCATGTATCAGTATATACATATCAGACAGAACATGCATTTAATTTTTAGAAGAGAATCAAATAGGTTGATGTAACCTTCTTTTTTATCTATGAATGTCCATGCCTTATTAGCGTCCTTATTCTGCAGAACGTACTAAGTCTGAATTAAATCCAGTACATTGAGTGACTTATACCTAAGTTAGTTCTGGATTGCAGACTAAATACTGCTCAAGCTTGCTTGCTGATTTCTTTCCATTTAGATAGTAATCCAACTCTCAAATTTCAACTCTGAGCAGTTTACATACATTTAATACAAAATCAGCCTCTCCCAAAGACCCAGCCCAGAATCATTCAGAATTAAAGCCATTCCATTCCTGAGCTGATGCCAAGGAGAAAAGTCAGGTCTTAATGGTCTACAAAAGACCAACAGGATTGGAGCCACTTACAACCACAAGCCCTCCAACATACCAAAGGCAAAGCTGCAGCAGGCCACTTTTTTAAAAATGAAAAATGAACCTGAACCGATATAAAACACCATGTCAATCCAGACAAGAATCATATTTAATTCTATTAGTGAAAGCATCCTACTGCAAGAGTCTTTAACAGTCCACCATCTGCAGTCCAATACCACATGCAACTGTATACAGCTGTTCCTGCTCCACCACTGTTTTACCACATAGTCCAGAATGGCATTCTTTGCATTCCAGCCAATGTTCAACTCTGAGTCCAATTTCTGCCACATAAACTTGCACCTCCAACATTTTTGCTGGCCTCAAAAATCTCCAACATTGACTCTGGCCTCAGTAACTCCTGAGCTACAAATACAATCTACCTTTTAATTTGGCCTTCCGGTCAGTATTGACTCCCAGTGACTAGCTGGATTAGTGCCTGAAGTTCCCTTGGCAAGATTTCAGAAATGGCTGGCCATTGCTTCCTTTCTAGGTCTGAAAGTTACAGGCTCAAAGCCACCTAGTTGCCTTTGTGCCTAAGCAATGATAAGAATTCACAATCTTGTTTCTAGTCTGGTGCCTTTAACTACTACACCAAACAAGTTTTCAACTATTCCTACAGCCTGTCATTAACTCAGCCTTTGATCTCAGTACCATCACAAATAAATAACATCACCTTATTGATAACTGTATTGTGCCTATTTTTTTAAACAAATTCTACTTCTTACCCTTAAAGGCTATTTTCAATTACATAATACACATTGCACAGAAAGTGTGGGTTAATATATTGTTTTATTGATTACATTTTTGGAAATAAATAGTTGAAATAAATGTTATAAACACATGCTATAAATGAATGTTGCTATTGTCTAATAATCTTTCTTTTTTCTGCTTAATAAAATGCAATCATGTTATCCTGAAGTTTACATATTCTAATGTTAGCATAAGCACATGTCCTCATAATTTGATTACCCATTTTAAAGCAATTATACAAATAAATAACTTGGTACTCCCAGAGTATTTTGTACATACTTTCATCTAGGGAACCTTTTATCATAATCTGTTTATTCTACCATGATACATTACTTTTGCAGAGACTAGCAACTGTTTCACTGCATAGTTGAAACAAATGACTTGCATTTAAGCAATTTGTCTGAAAATATGCAATGAACCAGATTATTAGTTTCTGCAAAATAATTAATCATAAGTATTTATAAAATTTTCGAGTATGTCATCACACACACACACACACACACACACACACACACATTATAGTGTGTGCATATATTTTGTGTGTGGGGGGGGTATCAGTGGTGGGATTCAAAAAAAATTACTACCAGTTCTGTGGGCGTGGCTTGGTGGGTGTGGCTTGGTGGGCATGGCAGGGGAAGGATACTGCAAAATCTCCATTCCTTCCCCACCCCACTAACCTGCTTTCCAGCTCTGTTCTCCTGTGCAGGGCAACAAAAGAAGACCCAGCCAATAAACTGGGACCCCGGAGGCAGAGAATAGATGAGGGGTGGGGCCAGTCAGAGTTGGTATTTGCCGGTTCTCTGAACTATTCAAAATTTCCACTACCGGTTCTCCAGAACTGGTCAGAACCTGCTAAACACCACCTCAGAGAGAGAGAGAGGGAGGGAGGGAGGGAGGTGTGTGTGTGTGTGTGTGTGTGTGTGTGTGTGTGTGTGTGTGTTAAATGGTGGGGCTAGGAAAGAATGATATAATAGCTGAATGAGATGTAAGCATTTTAAATGTTATCATAGTAAAATTACAAATATAGATCTGGTATTTAACTCATACTAAAAATTGACAGTATGTTGCTTATTATTCTTTTATTTTAAATGCTTCTCTATGCCCAATGGGTCAAAAATGTTGATTTATCCTTTTTATCTATAACTGACACTATTCAGGTATATTATTTAGCCCTCAAAGGTTCCTTTGGTTAATTACAGGAATACAACTTTATGTATTCTATATTATTATGAAACTTATAACAATAAGCATGTAAATAGTAAGTAAGCATTACATTCCTTTTGGCAAATGCCCTCCCCCACTTTTGAAGTTGTTTTATAACAAGGGCATTACCAACTAAACTGCACCTAAGGGCTTATCTCCAAAGCTCAGTGACTGTGGTGTCTGTTCTAGATAGCTGTCAAAGATGTCCTTATTTCCTATGCAGGGAAGATGGCTTCCCCCACCCTTCCATTTTCACTGTCACCAGTTGTTGGGAAACAGATCCATTGTTGTAATGTCAATGGTTTGATGGATGAGTGGACTCACAAGCTTAACCATTTTCTAAAACTCTCTCCACCCATTCACCCACCTATTCACCTCTGCACTCAGTCTAGAAACAAAGTTCTGAAAAGCAATAGGTGAAGAGGAAAGACTTTACCCATCAGATCTGTGCACCTGATGGGATCAGACCAAATAGCTATTAGAGCAAATATACCTGATGATATATATGGTTGTAGTGGGCAATTTTTGATTTGTCAGCCTCTGTTTGAGGAACTTTTGAACATGTGTTTATTGTTTTTCCAGAGGACTGCTAATCCCATAGTTTTTGGAATACTGGGTTCATGATCTTCTGCCAGAAGGCTAACTTCACATTCAAAAGCACTTTGTACAACAGTTGGCAACCAAGTTGTGGGATGGTTGTATGAACTAGTTCTGTCTCTCTTGCTTTACTATGCAGTTCCTCAGCCATCAACTATGGTTTGGGCTGTTTTTCTATCAAGCTAGTAAGCCTATGTTAAAAACAAGAAACATAACCTCTGAATAGTAGCTGATGAATACCATATGTGGGTGGAGATGCATCATGAGGAACAGGGGCAAAGAAAATCACTCTTTTTCCTGCAGAATCCCTGTCAACCCTTCTGATCAGCTACCGTTCATATCCGTGAGCTGAGGATTAGCCAGTGACTTGACTGATATTTACTGATAGATAACCTACTTTATTCGTGAATTTTTCCATTGCTCAGAATATAATGAGCAGAGGCAGTACCCAAGAACTAGAAAGTTAAAGGATACCTAAAATCAGCCTAAATTGGTTAATAGCTGCCAAGCTGATCCAACCCTCTAGGAAATTCCATTGCAAAATAGTCAGAAAGTGTGTCAGATTGTATTTGTGGTAAATTTGCTATAGCTTATTATTTACTTAACAAGGAAAACAGTATTTTAGGCTGTCTCAGATACATATTGAAGACCAGGTAAGGCAACCATATGAAAACTTGGCAGAAAAAAAAATAGCTAAGGGATATATATGTATCTTGTTAGGTACAAATAGTCTGTTCTATGACTTAGAATGGACAAGACCACCTTTTGATGGACTCCATTTAGCTATTGGAGGGAGTTCATGAAATGGGTAGAATTGCATCATACCTAAATGAGACTGGGGCTTGGAAAGAATTTTGGTGGGTTCTGTTTTGAATTTTTAACCCCAGTATACCTATCCTACTCTAATTCCCATGGATTTCATATTTCAAAATGGCAAATGAAGAAAGAATGACAGAAAAAACACAAAGGCTCACTCAAAGGCATGATTAGATGTCCAAGCTATCTAAAAATCATGTGGGAGATATTTAAGTATTCTTTTAAAAGATCTTGGGTAGCCAATGAAGCCATTGAAGCATTCTTCTGGCTATAAATCAAGGAACTGTGGATTATTACCTTTAAAACCGGAATAACCTGTTGCTAGAAGTGCAATCAAAGCGATGGTTATGATAAGTAGCAAAAGGAAGAAAGTAATCAGGGAGATTTCTAATCCAGTGAATTTCTTCTTTCCCATCTAGAGAGAAAAAGAGATAAATAGATATTTATCTATATCTATATATGGAACATGCATCATAAATTCAATTCAAGCGCTTGCTTTCAAATTATGTATCCTTTCATCCAAATAATCAAAATATAGCCAACAATGCTAAACCTGTGTCCTTCTTCACCACAGAACTTGCAAGAAAACATTAAGTGTTTATGATGAATTACAACAACTTTTTTCAAACTAGCATTTTAAAAGGTTTATTTTTAATCACTAAACTTCTCTCAAGTGAAAGCAAAACCATATTTACATGTGTGGGTTTTTTTCCTGTTGTTTTCCTGTTTCTTCCCAGTTGATAATCATTGAAGAAAAACTAACTGAATGCCCATGCACACATTACGCATACATAGAAACATAGACCAACTAGAATCTAGAATAAAACCTACTGGTGGTGGGGGGATACCTTTAGCAAAAGCAAAAGCAATATAGAAGCACTTAGACTTATATACTGCTGCACAGTGCTTTACAGCCCTCTCTAAGCAGTTTACAATGTCAACATATTGCCCCAACAGTCTATGTCCTCATTTTGCCGACCTTAGAAAGATGGAAGGCTGAGTCAGCCTTGAGCCTGGTGAAATTTGAACTGCCAAACTGCTGGCAATCAGCAGTCAGCAGAATTAGCCTGCAATACTGCATTCTAACCACTGCACCACTGTGGCCCTTTATCTTGAGATTTATAAGAAATAAATGTTAGCAAGTGCTCATTTTGGCTGAAATACAGCTCTTGAGGATAAGGATTGATTAGTAATCTTAGGAATTATGCCCATATCTGACAAACTGTCTTTCCAAGAGATAGGCTCCACAGCCATCTGCTCAACCTTATTATTATTTTTTTAAAAAAATGGTATAAACAGTGTTTAATTCGAAGTAGCATTACAACGCACTCATACTTATATCAAGCATTTTTAGATCAATAAGGAATCAATTAAGTTACCATTTGCCTTGTTTGGTTTTTCTTACTAAGGTAAGAGGAGCTGCATTTTTTTCTTTGCTTGTTATTGACAAATTATCTAACTTTGTTTAACTTGTTTTTTAAAAACATTCAAAATGCTCAACTATTTCAGCAATTAAATAAATATATTGACTTTGTGGTTCCCTCCCTCCCCCCTCCCAACTTGCAAACTGTTATGAATTGTACGTTATCATTACCAACTGTAAAGAGTGGTTTAAGTACTGACCAAGGTGTAAATATTTTTCTGAACTGAGTTAACAGCATATATATAATATGTATATATTATTATTTCTTACTTTAAGGAATGTGAGCTTTAAGAACAAGAAAAGAATGCAGCAAAATTTTAGCATGAATTAAATTTTATCATGCAATTCAACACAGCAAGGAAATCTAGTTTTATACATTATGATTACTCTTTCATTTGTGCAAAGCAGGATATTTCACCCTCAGTTTTATTTCTTCATTTGTTTTCCCAATACTTTCATTTATCTTGACCCCTGGGCTACATGCCTGAAAGTTTCAGTTTTGTTTCCTGCAATTTATTTTATCTTCAATTTCTGAATAAGCTTTTTTTTTATCTCCATCAACTCATCTCAGTATCCAGTTAGGATATTATTAAAGATTGCAAAACCGTGATTGACCACCAGCTGGAAGCAAAGTGGTAGAATTTTCTGTCTGTCTCTGGTGCTGTACAGATTTTTGCAACTTAGAGCCAGTAGCCCTAGGACAACTAAGAGAAAAGTTACACAATACTTTTGGACATGGAGAAATTTCCTGCTCTTGTTATTACAACATATATTTCTTCACCAAATAATTGCAAAAGAGAGTTTTGATTGATTTAGTACACTCCTCCCTTGAATTTCATTTTCTAAGCATATAAATATAAGAATTTTAAAAATTCTATGGTTGATAAACATGCCGATTTTCTATAGGTTAGGTTATTCATAAGAACAGACTGAAAGCATGACATTTTAAAAATGTTTTTGAAGAAAAGATAATGTGGCATCAAGTTACATCTATATTATTTCTTGTAGAGAATGGTTATTGGTGATAAACAATGTTCTCAATGTTTCAAATGAAAGAGGAACACATTAATATTCTCTGTTTTATGACAGGTGTACATTGGTTACTTAGAACGTTAAAGAAAGTGAACAATATGATTTTTAATACATACCTTTAAAGGCTCTTGGTTTCCTTCACATAAGACTGCTAGATGGTTCTGTGAAAGGGATCATTTACTTTGTGGCCTCTTGTTATATACTGACTTGCTGTCAATGTACTATATTATATTTTAACCAGGCTATCATTTGAAGTTAGGCATATAAAGGCAGATTGCTTGGTTCTTTTTAACTGCTGCAGATAGGGAATAGCTAGTTAATTAATAATTTTTTTTATCCTAGGTATCTGTCATGCAGCATTTAACACAGGTACAGAGTACCTGTGGATACTTTTGCTTTTTGCTATGCTATAAGCTGCCCCATGAATCCATTTATTTATTCTCCCTGAACTTTTGCTTTTGTTATCAGCATTTCTGCCATAAACCTCAGTATAAAATCATTAAAATTTTATAAAGGTTCAGAAAGCAGAGTTTAAAGTAGTTTGCAACAGTATTAATCAGGTTTTTTTTATCACTGCTTTTCTTTCATTGCTATTGTCATCTGCTGATTAGTGGGAGTATAAACTCTAATAGGTACCTGCTTGAGTGAGGAAATGTAAATAAGACTTGTCAGCTAGGACTTTTTAATCCCTCTAATTATTTGTTTTATTTATTTTTATCCTACCTTTATTATTTTTTAAAAAATGATTCAAGCTGTTAACATACAGTACCTAATGGTCCTTCTTCCTCCTCCTATTTTCTCCACAACAACAACCTTGTGAGGTGGGTTAGGCTGAGAGAGGGTGTCTGGCCCAAAGTCACCCAGCTGATTTTCATGCCTAAGGAATGACTAGAACTCCCAGTCTCCCTTTTTATCACCTGGTGCTCTGGCCAAACTGAGTCACAAGATGCACTGAAACTAATATACCAGAGAGGCTTACTGAGACCAAAATGGCTTATAAAAAAGAACACATGAAAAACAGAAAGTAGACATGGCAAGAACAATTACATGGCCAGTACAATAAAAAATAAAATAGTAGGCAAAGCGGATAATAATCTGGCAATGGCTAAGATTAGAAAGGTTGAAGAAAGATACAGAGGGGCTAATTCTAGCTGCATTGGACCAAGCCATAAGAACTAGTTCATAGAAAGCCAGAATTTACAAGACAACAACAGATAGAAAATGCCACCTCTGCAAAGAAGCTGAAGAAATAGTGGACCATCCAGTAAACTGATGTCAGAAGATTGCACAGAGTGACTTGAAACAATGGCATGACAAAGTAGCAACAATGGTATATGGAAGATCTGCAAGAAACACCTTTTGCCTGCAAGCAAAAAACTAGTGGGACCATAAAATATAGAAAATCATAGAAAACAACGAAGCTAAAGTGCCCAAAATTCTGACTTCAGAATTTTGACAGACAGGCACCTGCCACATCACACGACCGATTTAACAATTATGAACAAGAAAGACAGAAACCTCTGGATAGTGGACATGACAATAGTCGGAGACAGCTTTGTATTTTGTTATCAAGAAGATAACAAAATACAAACAACTGCAAATACAAGTAGAATGACTATGGCTAAAGAAAGCAAAGGTAGTACAAATAGTAATGTGTACCTTGGATGCAACCCCAAAACAACTGGAACACCTCTTGAACACAATCAGCATGGAAAAATCCATCTAAATCCAATGTTACTCTACAAATTGCATTGTTATTTTCCAGGACAGATTTATTTATTTCCTCTGTTACTGTATGTCAGGCATTCAGCCTATTCTCTATGTGTCTAATTGTGCTTTAAAGAACAAAAGATTACTTTTTCATTATCTGCTGTTTTATTCTGGCTTTTAAATTTTCATTTCCCTTTCTTTATACATTTTTTGTGCTTTTGTACCTTTACAGGTTATCTTTACCCTTTTAAACACAGAAAGGAAGTGGGGAAGGCAGGGAACAAATGTTCTTTACTGAAAAAAGTAAGTATGAATTAGAATTTTTTTTTTGTTACAGATGATACCCACAACAAATTAAAACATTACCAACATACTACTATTGAGAAAAGCCACTGCAATCAAAATATTAAGGATACTTGGATATTTTCCAGCAATTTTAAGATTGGTTTGTTAGTCTTATAGGACTTTGTAGAATTTTATGCAGCTTTCCTATGATCCAAGAGTGCATCCAACCTAGAACTCAGAGTTTGAGATTAGATGTATGCATTTACAAATCTATTATACCTATCAAATGTCAGCAAGGCAAACTGCCAAGAACCTTACATTTCACTAGCTCTGAATATTGTCCACTTTACTATAATTTGGGTTATACTTAATTGAAAGATAAAAGTTCAGGCACAGAACCTTGGATTAAGTACAAATATTTCCTTTTGTTATTCCTAATGAGACTGAATACTATTGGACAGCTTGTCTGAAAACTGTTACTGCTGTGTCCGCTGACTGACAAGTCCTCTCTCTGGTCCACCGCCTGCGCGGGAGCACCGATCGCTCCCATTGGCTGATGCCGTTTGACAGCCGGCTATAAAAGGAGCTGTCAAACGGTATCAGCTGTCGCCGCCAGCTGACTGCCAGTTAGCCTCGGCAGCCGCGGCGACCCTTTATTCAGTAGAATAAAGCCTGTTAACTTCGAGCCTGTGTCTGTCTCAGTCATTGCCGCCACTCTACAACACTGGCGATGAGGGCGGGATGCGATAAGAGACAACCAGGCAAAGACAGCTGAGCACAGTCACTGTCAAAAAGAGCCGAAGCCGCAAGAGCTGAATACGTCACCACCACTGACGGTCTCCACGAGTGCGAAGTTCAAACTCCCAGCTGGGGAGTCTGACGCTGCCTGACAGGCACAGACGCGAGCGCCTTTTTAAAGGTGCGAATTAAATCCTCCTCAGCTGAGGAAATCAGCACCACCGCTTCCAAGATGGGCACAAACCCAACATTCCCTCCTTTCTAGCCGACGGTCGAGACGTGGGAGTCGTATATGAACCGGTTTGATTGCTTCCTGAATGCTATTGACCTGACAGAAGCTACTGACCTGAGGAAAAGATCCTATTTTTTGAGCTTTCGTGGGGCTGCAGTCTTTGATACAGCCTCAGCATTAGTGTCCCCACGCTCTGTAAAGGCTATTCCCTGGGAGGAGTTGCAGGGAATTCTATCTAACCACTACTCCCCCAAACCCTCTCAAATAGCTAGGAGAGTAGCTTTTAGGAGGAGAGTTCAGGCTGAAGGAGAGACAGTTAGTCAGTATATGGCAGCCTTAAGATCAGCTGCCATACACTGTGGATTTAGGGATTACCTAGAAGACATGTTGCTGGACCAAATTGTAGGAGGGGTTAGAGACCTTAAATTACAGAGGCGTTTATTAGCAAAAAAAGATTTAACCCTAAGTCTGGCCATTGAAGAAGCTCAGGCTGCTGAGCTATCAGAGCTGTCAGCAGCTGAGATTCAGGGAAACCCCATAAAGCAAGGGAGCTCTGCCATTCACTTTGATGAGGTATCCCTAGAAGAGGAACCGCTTGAGGTAAACCGCCTCAGACTGCCAAGCCCCCCCCCCAGAGGTGCCTAGGAAAAACACCAGCCCAGCAGCCAGACAGCAACCTAATTGTCTGAGCTGTGGGGGGGGGCACATCCCAGATCAACCTGCAGATTCAGAAACGCCATCTGCCTAAACTGCCAGAAAAAAGGACACATAGCTAGGGTTTGCCAGGCTGAAAAAACCTTCTCACAAAGACCTCAAGCTGCTGCCTCCTTCCAAAAGCAAGTTGAAGATTGCTACACCTGTTACCACTCAGACAATACCACCCCTGGGTCTAACAAAATAAGCATTTTTGTCTTTCTAGAAGGTAAACCCTGTCGGATGGAGGTGGACACCGGGTCTGCCCTCTCAATCATCTCATGGGCCACCCTGAAGAAGCTGCTCCCTACACTCTCCAAGAAGAAGCTGCTCAACTGCCACCTGACTCTTCGAGACTATCAGGGAAAGACCATTCCAGTCCTGGGGAAAGGCAAGTTCCTTATTCAATTCCAGAACTTTAAAAGCCACTTGCCTCTGGTAGTTGTAGATGGTGCCCTTCCCAGCTTGCTTGGGCTAGATTGGTTCCCTGCCTTGGGCCTTAGTGTAACTGGTATTCACTCTGTGGTGAATACTGAGGTAGACACCCTTTTCAGGGACTACGCTGATGTTTTTAGTAATGAGCTGGGATGTTATTCTGGTACCCCTATCTCATTTGATGTGAGCCCACAAGCCACCCCCATTTGTTTAAAACCTCGCAGAGTCCCATTTGCCATTTGCCCTAAATTGGATCTGGAACTAGATAAGCTAATTAAACAAGGGGTACTAGAACAAGTAGATTTCGCAAAATGGGAGACCCCCATAGTCACCCCCCTCAAAAAAGATGGCAGCGTGCGAATCTGCGCAGACTATAAAATGTCCCTCAATCATTTTCTCCAAATTAGTGCATACCCAGTCCCTGTAATTCAACACTTGCTGCACTCTTTTGAGCCAGGCACAATTTTCGCAAAGCTTGATATGTCCCAAGCATATCAGCAGTTCCCAGTAGACAATCACACTGCTGACTTGCAAACAATAGTTACCCACAGGGGCGATTTCAGATGTAAATGTTTACAATTTGGAGTTAGTGTGGCCCCAGGTATCTTCCAATCCCTGATGGAAAGGATTCTCCAAGGACTCCCAGGGGTAGTCCCATACTTTGATGACATTCTAGTCTCTGCCACTAACAAAACACAATTATTACTCAGGGTTAGGTCTGTTCTTGACCATTTTAGGCAGCATGGGTTAAAACTAAAAAAAGACAAGTGCACCATTGCCACTAAGCAAGTGGACTTCCTAGGTTATCGAATTGACGCCTCTGGAATCCATCCCATAGAAACAAAAGTTAGGGCCATCCATGAGGCACCTACTCCCTCTAACAAAACAGAACTACAAGCCTTTTTAGGGCTCCTGAATTTCTATGCAGCTTTCCTTCCACACAAGGCTTCTATAGCTGAACCTTTACATAGACTTTTAGATAAAAAAGCCCCCTGGCACTGGGGACAAAGAGAAGCCATTGCTTTCCAAGCAGTCAAATCCCTGCTAACCTCAAAT